ATTTTGAAACATGCATTCAACCATTTTGATTCAACCATTTTGAAACATGCATTCAACCATTTTGATTCAACCATTTTGAAACATGTATTCTTCATTAGCCAGGTTTTCAGACTTTAATGCTCGAATCAAATTCCTGTACTGATTCCTAGTAATCACGAAACAGAGGCAAACCTTTTATTGCTATTATATTTTTACCACAGATGAGGTCACAATTAAGGTGTGTGAATGAGGTGAATGAATGAGAGAACAACTCGTTGAACCAAGCATTAATCCTTGTTGCATAAATCTGAACTTATCTCTGATTATTCAAGGGCCAACTCATTCAGACATGACAAGAGAGAATTGTCCCTACAGTGCAAGCTGTTTCCCCATCCCCACCCTGGCATTACTTGCAATGTAGAAATGTTTTGGGTTTTTTTGCAAATCTCACGGAAGTGCCATACAGGTGGTCTTTGACTTATGACTATAATTGGGACTGGGATTGCCATTGTAAGCCAGTTGTAAAAAATTGTATTTGTTTTTATTTATTTAATTTGTCAATTGCTTACAAGATAATAGGAATAAGTATAAATATCAATAAGAATACAGGAAATAGATAAGAATAAATGGAGACAATAGGACAGGGACGGTAGGCATGATGGTGCGCTTATGCAGGCCCCTTACAGACCTCCTAGGAATGGGGTGAGGTCAATAGTGGATAGTTTAAGATTAAAGAAGTGAGAGTTAGAGGATGTAATAACAGAGTCAGGTAGGGCATTCCAGGCATTGACCACTCGGTTGCTGAAGTCGTACTTTCTGCAATCAAGTTTGGAGCGGTTTACATTGAGTTTGTATCTGTTGTGTGCTCTTGGATTGTTGAAATTGAAGTAGTGAGTAGTGAGACGTCATGAAATGTCACATGACCACGCCACCTTATGAAGCAATCCCAGCATTCTTCACTGTTGATGGTAAGTGAACACCCACCCAGTGGTGGGCTGCAACTGGTTTAATAACTGCCTAATGCGCAGCATTCAAAATACACCAGTTTGAAGCTCAGCTGCTTACTTTCTAGGGCTGCCCCTGTAAATAGGATACAAAGAAGAAGGGGGAGAAAAGACAGGTGTGGCTTACTTGTATTCAAGAGGAGTAGGGCTTTCATGCAAAGGAACTCTTCACAGCTTACTTGTAGCTTGACAAACTCTTGCGGAATTTGCCACATGGACAGGCACAGGGAATAGAATGATGATTCTTTCATCCTCTGTCTTACGCATCACCCAGGGAAAAAAAAAGCCAAAGCTAAAAAAATTAAGTATCAAACCTGTGGGGAACTTAAAGGCCCTCACTTTGCAATATAGTACTACTTGGAATACAATTCTTACAGCAAGCCAGAATCAGGATTCAGTGACAAGAAGACTGAGCTGGATTGTCTTAAACCAACCTTTTCCAACCTGGAGAACCAGCCTTCTTTCCTTGGGAAGAGGCTGCATTATGTATTCTTGTAGACCTCAAGCTTGTTTACCTAAATAGATCGCCATTCCAATAATAACCCAGAAGCTTAGAGTTATAAAGGTACAGTTATAAACTTACAACCTTTGTTCAGTGACTGTTCGAAGTTACAAAGGCAACAGAAAAAAAAATGACTTATGAACATTTTTCACTTAAGAATGTTGGAGGCAATATCCATCTGGTTCAGTTCCAAGCTGGGAGAAAGACATTAGAAACATGGAGGATGCTTGGAAAGATGGTTTAATGATGAAACGGAGCCACATGGATGGTTCCGGTGCAGCTGACCACATGGAGTTGAGAGTAGGGGGTATTTATACCTTCTCTTTGCACTTGAACTTCCTGTTCCTGTGCAAGAACAGGTGTTCTATTGGCTGTTGTCAGACTCCCATGGAGGCCATGTGCAAATCCTAGGAGTTTGTCTGAGCTAAGTTTGGTTGATGTTTGTTGGGGGTGATGCAAATGAGATGATGCAATGAAGGGGCTTGTGTTCTGAAAGGGTGTTGGGAAATTCCTATTATGGCTGAGGGCTAATCCTATTCTTTGTTAGATCTTGGGTGAGGGTATTTGCTTATGAATAGAGCTAGTTGTCTCTTTATCTCTTAAGTGCTGACATCTGCTGAAGCCTATTAAGAAAGGTGGGGGCTGCTTTCCCCCTCCAAAAAACTTCTCATTCAGGGAAATATAATATTCTGCCTTTTTAATATTTCTCAAAATATTTATTCTTCTAGGAGAGGGGTGGGTACTAACTTTCTATAGGACCATTGCAGCATTTCAGTAGTTATGTGATCAAAATTTTGCTCAAGTGTGGAGGTAAATTGAGGGCTGCTACTTGTATATTTTTTAATAAGTTGCAGGAAACAAGTCAGAAAAAGCACATGCCTAATAAAACAAAAAGAATTTAAGTATATTGACTTTTGATTAGTCACAATTTAATTTTTCTGTTATTTTTCATATTTCTGGATTTTCTGAAAACATTTTGCCTATTGTACTTAGCAGATAATATAGTCTGCTGGAAGTTGTAGTACGTATCAGAAATAGGGTTTTTTTTATATAAGCTCGGCTTATTTGACATATGTATATCTCTATATACATAATATTCTGTCGTTCTTGTCCAGGAGCAATACAATAATGAACTGCATCAGAAGAGGACCAACAAAGGAAAAAAAATGGGATTCTGAAGGTCATTCATTTGAACCGGGCTATGGCACAATGCTAATTGTGACTGATATTGCCTTCTAACTACAAGAATCTGAGCTGTACTCAGATCTAGCCATTATTTTGAAGACCCAAGAGGTTTCTTATGACTTTAGGATACTTTTATTAGTCAGAATAACAGAATAACAGAATTGGAAGGGACCGTAGAGGCCTTCTTGTTAAGCAGGAAACCCTCTACCATTTCAGACAAATGGTTATCCAATCTCTTCTCAAAAACTTCCAGTGTTGGAGCATTCACAATGTCTGGAGGCAAGTTGTTCCACGGATTAATTGTTCTAACTGTCAAAGAAATCTCTCTTTAGTTCTAGATTGTTTCTCACCTTGATTAGTTTCCATCCATTGCTTCTTATCTTGCCTTCAGGTACTTTGGAGAATACGTTGACTCTTTTTTCTTTGTGGCAATCCCTTAGATATTTGAACACTGCTATCCTGTCACCCTAGTTTTACTTTTCATTAAATTAGACATGCCCAATTTTTTAAACTGTTCTTCCTATGTTTTACCCTCCAGTCCTCTAATCATCTTTGTTGCTCTTCTCTGCACTCTTTCTAAAATCAAGCAGGTTCCCTCACCAGGATCTCTCCTGGTCTGAGACAGTCAAAGATCAATGCACTTCACATAAGCTGCTCATAGGAATATTATACAATTAATATAATGCATCAAAATCCAAGTAACTTCTAAAACCTACATAGCCATGCACTTACATCCGAGTCCACTAATTTAAAACTGCTTTTTGCTAATGAATCAGCCACCTCAACAAATGAAAACTCTGCTTTATTTGTCACAATAATTCATTGTCTTGATAATAGTTCCCTAATTCCTAACACACTCTTAATATTACACTGGAGAATTACTTGAACTACTTTAATGACAACACTGTGCTGTTAAACCATTTCAGATACTTAGAGCAAGAGTCTTCAAACTTGGCAAGTTTAAGACTTGTGGACTTCAACTCCCATAATTCCTGAGCTAACATGACTGGAGGAGGAATTCTGGGAGCTGAAGTCCACAAGTCTTAAAACTGTCAAGTTTGAAGACCCCTGACTTAAAGCTACAACTTGGGAGAAATAAGGAAAGCAAGAGAAAAATCTAACATTAATAATGATTTTGTTTTTTTTTTATTGGAATGTCATTGTTTATCTTTTATTTTGAATTGTTGGCCCCATTTAAATCTTTATAAATACAAAAATAGGCTATTAATTGAAGAAGAAAAAATCACGTACAACACCATAAATCATACTTACTCATTTAATATTAGATCAGGAGCAAAGTACAACATTTGACCACTGACATGCTTATATGATCTCCATCCCATCGCAAAGACCATTAGACTCATCCATGAATACTGGATAAGAGTTATCTGGTCATCAATATGTAAGTTCCGGAATCCTGGAAAGAAAGAAAAAAGGAAAAGGGATGTTAAATATATAATTAGATTTTGTCAGACTTTTCGTTTACTATTACGTATGACGTGAAGACTCCCCTCACTTAGTTTCCACTAGGTCAGTCTTTCAGAATTGGCAACTTTAAGATGAGTGGACTTCAACTCCCAGAATTCCCTAGCCAGGATGCTGGGGGAGTTGAAGTCTTCTGGTTGTTGAAGTCTACTTACTTTAAAATGGCCAAAGTTGTATTGTTACTACAGAAGAATTTATACATACTTAGGAAATAAGAGGACCAAAGTATAATGTCCTTTTTCTCCTGGCTCAGAATTCATACAGAAACAGTAATTAGGGTGCAGCTGAGAGTGACATTAAATCCAGGAATCAACCGAAAACAAGTTATATTGTATAATTAAAAATAGTATCTTTTAGTCACTCCCAACTCCTACATAAGATGTCTCCTCTAGTCATTCAGATTCATACTTAATGCTTGCAAAGATGAAATGGCAAGCAAGGTTGTACTACAGTTAGCAATGAAGTTTCTTCAAACACCTAATATGTGACTTGACTATTTTGGCAAAGTTTTAAGCAGGTAGCAGAGTCATTCTTCAAGACAAATGAATCCTTCAATTCTTTACTTATTCACAGCAGCAATCGGAAACGAAACCAAGGTGAACTAAACATTGTTACGAATGAAGGCAAATAGGATTACAATATGATATTTTCCCATCATTGTTCTAAAGTAAACTATATAATCAAAGTCAAATAGTCATATGTAGATTTCCAAAAATCTAAGCCATCTCACTTAACAGCACTCTATATATGCCTACTGTTGTATTAATAAAACATCTGAAACATAACAATACTTTATAAGGATATCTCTTACTAGCTTAGATTTTAAATCATTGAAGTTTTTAAAAACAACATTGTCTTGGCTCCAATTACTGAGAGTCTCTTGTAAGCCAAAATATGGACTAGAATGGTTGAATTCAACCCATCAAGATTCTGTTGACTGGTCCTGCATTTTAACATTTTATATCACCCAGGCTATAACTCCTGTCATCCTTATCCATCATGTCAGCTAGCCAAAGTGGGTGTTGACAATGGGAATTCTTATCCAACTTACGTAGTTTAGAAAGCTGGCCTTTATCAAAAGCTGAGTGATGTTATCCAGAAAAGCTATTTACCATCATCAGCCCTGTTTTATGGGATTCTATTAAATGCTACTTTTAAAATTTGTTATCAAAAGGTAATATTTAACTATCATTGGAATCTGCCAGTGTTCCTGCTTCAGTCTTAATACTGTAAATGGATACATTTCTTTCTTTCTTTATTTAATTTGTCAATTGCTTACAAAATAATAGGTATAAGTATAAACATGAGTAAGAATACAGAAAATAGGTACGATTAAATGGGGACAATAGGACAGGGATGGGAGGCATGATGGTGCACTTATACATGCCCCTTAAATGCAGAACACACAGATAAAAAACCAGACAAGGTATGGAAAGACTCAATATGAGAAAAGCAATTAGATGAAACCCAATCACTAGCTGCAACATGCCTATTTCTGCTCAAAATCTTGGGACATTTGTCTCGTTACAAAATGGCATCTATCTCCTTAAAGTGATCTGTTGCTGGATAGCTTAGGTAAAAGGAGTCTCTACGGAGTTTACTCCGCTAGTTGTTTCCCACTATAGTGGGCGATGCTCATCTTGGCCATTTCAAGGCCAGCACTGTCCGAAGACATTTCCATAGTCATGTGGCCAGCTTGACATCTTCTTTCTTCTTCTTCTCCTTTTCCTTCTTCTGCCATATCTGTCATCGGACGTTGGCGATCATTCTGGCAATCTTATTTTTTTATCAATAGCCGCATGAAAAAGTGCTGTTGAGTTTTGTCCAAACCAGTCCCTTTGATTTTGAAGCCATAATGTTCTTCTTCTGCCTGGACCTTGTTTGCCTTCAATCTTTCCTTGGAGGATTAAGTGAAGCATGCCGTATTTTTCTGGGTGTCACATCACCTGTCCAAAATATTCTAACTTTTGCTTTTTTACGGTTTCGATTATTTCCCTTGGCTTTCCCAGGCGGCTTATTACCTCCTCATTTCTGATTTTGTCACCCCAACTTATATGTAGCAACCGCCTGTAAATCCTCATGACATCATAGAGCGCTATTATCTTCCCATCAAAGTGGTACCTATTTATCTACTCACATTTGCATGCTTTTGAACTGCTAGGTTGGCAGGAGCTGGGGCAAGGACAGGAGCTCATACTATTGCGTGGTGCTCAGACCTCAAACTTGGTCTGCTAGCTTGACAAACCCAGTGTCTTAACTGCTGAGATATCACACTGTCTGATAAGCTGGATAGCTTATGCCACTAAAAATTCTGAAAAACCATTTCTTATAATCAAAACTCTAGTGGTATCCATTCTGAACCAACCTTTCCCAAACTGATATTCTTCAGCTGTGTCATACTACTAATTAACATTGTGTATCAGATTTATATTTCTCACTTCATTCAAGAGCTCAAGATGGTATATGAAGTGCTCTGCTTTCCTATTTTTTCCCCCACGGTAATACTGTGTGATAAGCTGGGCTTCCAAAGAGGGAATGGTCCAAAATCACTCACTGAACCTCTGGGGCTGAGAGTGGACTAGACTTGACTTTCCTCATTCCTGGACCAACATCTCAACTACCAGATCAACAGCTGTGCTTCATTGGGATACTTTTAATAGAATAGAGCTAGAAGGGGCCTTGGAGGTCCTCTAGTCCAACCCCCTGCTTAAGCAGGAGACCCTATACCATTTCAGACAAGTGGCTGTCCAGTCTCTTCTTTGAAACCTCCAGTGTTGGAGCACCCATAACTTCTGAAGGCAAACTGTTCCACAGGTTAATAGTTCTCACTGTTAGGAAATTTCTCCTTAATTCCAGATTGCTTCTCTCCTTGATTAGCTTCCATCATTTCTTGTCCTGCCCTCTGGTACTTCGGAAAATATGCTTCTTCTTTGTGGCAGCCCCTCAAATACTGGAAACCTGCTATCAGGTCCTCTCTACTCCTTCTTTTCTCTAGACTAACCATACCCAGTTCCTGCAACCTTCTTCATATGTTTTAGTCTCCAGGCCTTAAATTGTTTTAGTTGCTCTTCTCTGCACTTTTTCTAAAGTCTGGACATATTTTTTTGTGGTGTTGCGACCAAAATTGGATGCAGTATTCCAGGTGTGGTCTCACTAAGGTAGCAAGGTAGTAAGATGGTAGGTGTTGTTCTCAGATTGTAATATAGGTTTCAATTAATTCTTGATACTGTTTTGAAGCTAAATATACCTAACTCTTTCCTCCTTTCTTCCCAGACTTGATCTCTTGGTTTATCACCCTTATGTGGAACCCAAAATATAATTTGTGTGTGTGTGTATGTGTGTATGTATATATATATATAAGGTAAAGGTTCCCCTCGCACATATGTGCTAGTTGTTTCTGACTCTAGGGGGTGGTGCTCATCTCCGTTACAAAGCCTAAGAGCCAGCGCTGTCTGAAGATTTCTCCGTGGTCATGAGGCCTGCCTGACTAAACGCCAAAGCACAGAACGCTGTTACCTTCCCACCAAAGTGGTCCCTATTTTTCTACTTGCATTTTTACATGCGTTTGAACTGCTAGGTTGGCAGAAGCTGAGACAAGTAACAGGAGCTCAGTCCATTACATGGCGCTAGGGATTCGAACCACCAAACTGCTGACCTTTCTGATTGACAAGCTCAGCATCTGAGCCACTGAGCCACCACATCCCAAGTCCCTCTCCCTCCCTCCCTCCCTCTCTCTCCCCCTCCCTCAAATAACATTTTATTTTTTGTAAAAAAAAACCGATTTATTATGGCGTCCAATGATTTGTCAGCATTCTTCATAAACAACATTGCTCAGAACTGCACACAGTGCCCTGAAAACAATGGAACCAACATCATTTCCAACATTTCCAACATCAAAAGATCCTTCTTACCTGGTAATGACTTGGACCACTTGACTACACAGAGGAGCTGCCTCTCACACAGGTGATTGAGGCTGGTCAACAAAGCACTTGGAGTTTCTGGTTTTGTGTTATCATAACCTGCGTAGACAACTTCTGGCTCAATGCTTTGTAAGACAGTGATCAGTGGAGGGATAAATTGGATGTCTTGGCTTGGTGAAAAAGAAAGCCTCTGCACCAATGTTTGGCTTTCATTTGGAAGGGCTGCTGGCTGTTGGAGTGCGACAACATCTAAGGCTCTTAGCATCTTGACCTTATTAAACTTCTTAAACTTTCGACCTGCAATCCAAGGATATAAGTGTTAGAAGAAACATAAGCACAAAGCAAATAAAATGTCATATGCCATTTAGTTCAATAAGCAAGGTATTGAAACCATCACAATGCACTTTAAAAGTGGACCAAATGCCCTACGTTCTGGGTTAATAATAAACCAAGCCAGGAAATCTCCTGGGTGTATCTCATAAATAGTTTGCCCCTTGTCTCAACCTATCTGTGAAACCACAGCCATCTCCTTCTCTCTATTTGAAACTTACCTGATGCAAATAGCTATGATGAGAAAAGGAAGGTGCTCTGATCTTCATGAGACTCTGCAGAAACAGCATTGTGGATGAACTTGACTAACAATGGTTGCTTATCTCTTGAGCATTTAATATTCTAATATTGTCAATGGAACCAGGAAGGTTGACGAGGCTACCTCTATCATTGGCCACTCCCAAGGACATTTTTATTTTATCTATTTTTTGATGTCCGCTGCCATCAGGAGTTCCCCTGGCTATTGCTGAGATTTTTGGAAATTAAAGACCAAATACCTGGCAAGCTTCCCAATTGCAGTAGCTAATCTAGACACATTCTGTTCACAGACTAAAAACATGGAATAGCAACCAATAATCTTGGTTCAGAATGCAAGGCCAACAGCCATAGTCAACATGAGGAATCTTGTCGGATGATGGAACCTAAAGCTCAGCATCATTTGAGGACCAAAGGGTCTCAATCTCTGGAGAAAGTTTGCGCACTGCCACCACACCTGTAATAAATACTACAATTTTCTTTTCTGGAAACAAAACTTACATACAAGTTTCTGAACATAGCAACAGATTTATGTTTGGAACAGGTCTCCCAACTCTGAAGTAATGAGGGAGGAGGGAATGAAGGAAGATGTTTTAGGGAATGGATGAGTTTGCTCAGTGGCATGAGAGAGCAACTAGGGAAAATATTAAAATATTAAGCAGTTGGAGTAGAAGACCCCACAGGCAATATCAAAACTTCCCATTGAATAGGGAACATAATGAGCACTAATTAAACTGTTGGGTGCAAAATAACTGTTGGCTTGTACTTTAAATTTACTTTGGTGGCCACATATGTACTTCATCTGTGATGTTGGTTGTGCTTTTTCATGATTGTTTAGCCGCCCAGAGTCACCATGGTGAAATCAGCGGCCATAGGAAGTGAATTCAATGAAATGGAATGGAATGGAATGGAACAAATAACCAGATAGTTGTGATGAGACTTAGGTTAGATGGCTGGTGGGACTCCACGCCTCTTGGTTAGCAACAATGTGCAGTTAATCTTACGACTCTGAATCTTTAAAGACTGCCATCTTAACAAATCTTCCAAAGAATAAACTCCAAAGCAAAGAGTGATATCTCTTTCTGGGAAAATTGTGCTGGACTAGTCTAAAGTCAGGGGAAAAAAATAAAACCCACAATGATGTTAGATTCAAGTGGCACATGGAATAATGTGGGGTGGAAATGGAATAATGACCTATGGATATGTACCCATAAATATCTTTAACCTTATCAGAAGGGAGGGATGCAAATCAGTCAACCCATATACTGTACTTTTTTGACTTTCATTCTGTCACCAAAGAGACATCTTGATATCTGGCTTGCTGTCGACCTTTCGAAGAAGACCAGACTAGAAAACCAAAATTATGAATACTAATATCCTTAGTATTACTAAAACCAAAGCTATGAATACTTTTAATATAAAGTTGCAGTAACAGAATCTGGTTAGTCACCCTTTATCTTGGTGTGACTGAAATGCTTCCTCAAATTACATTTCTGCCCAGGACTCAGATTTCGTTTATCTGCCTGTTACCTTGGTCGGGGGTTCTTCCTCTTTATAAAATGATTCATTCTTCCCATTACACTGGCTCATCAAACAACCCTTTGAATCGCTAATGCTTAAATTCAAGCTCAGGCAACCAGTAGAAACACTGAATAATATTGATTAATCTCAGCCAGCCAACCCTGAGTTTCTTTTAGTGCTTCTTACTCCCTGGCTAACCAAGGTGGCATTCTGCCAAGTATTGCTGAACACACCTTACTATCAAGCTTTAAGGGGTGCATTAATGTCCCAGTGGGTTCTGCTGGTGAAAAAAATGGCCCCCAAAGCTGATTTTATTGTTGGAGGGAAAAATCCAGAGGTAGGTATTCAGCAGGTTCTGACTGGTTCTGGAGAACCGGTAGAGGAAATTTTGAGTAGTTCGGAGAACCGGCAAGTACCACCTCTGGCTGGCCCCGTCCTCATCTATTCTCTGCCTCCTAAGTCCCAGCTGATTATCTGGGTCTTCTTTTGTTGCTCTGCACAGGAGAATGGAGCTGGAAAGCAGGTTAGTGGGGTAGGGAGGGAAGGGAATGAGGATTTTGCAGTATCCTTCCCCTGGAGTGGGGTGGGAATGGAGATTCTACAGTAACCTTCCCCTGCCATGCCCATCAAGCCACGCCCACAGAACTGGTAGTAAAAAAAAAAATTGAATCCCACCACTGGAAAAAGCTTTCTCTCTCAAGCTGGTGACAGCTCTCTGCAGCCAAGCTGAAAGGAATATGGCAAACTCAGCTGCCATTTTAATGGCTCTAGGTAGAAAAATTGCAGTCAAATGAACACCCACATTAAAAAGAAATTAAATTAAAAAGAAATATTTGTCCTCTCACATTTTAGATCTACTCTCTCAAACATTCTTCTGAAAGATGCAAGGAAGAAATATCCTCAAAAATGTACATAGAACAGAACAACAGGTTTGGAAGGGACCTTGGAGGTCTTCTAGTCCACCCCCTAGAGTATTTGAGACAAATGGCTGCCCAATCTCTTTTTAAAATCTCCTGGGGATGGAACACCCACGACTTCTGGAGGCAAGCCATTCCACTGCTTTAATTGTTCTCACTTTCAGAAAATTCCGAATTTGGGATACCTTGGTTTCTTTAACAGTGATGGTGGTGGTGGGGGGGGAGGAAGGAGATTTATAACAGTCTTCCAAAATAATTCATACTGGATTTATCCCCTTTCTCCTTCAGCTCTCCACCCATTTCCATCAGGAAGAAAGGGAAGTGAAAATAAACTGCATCAGACAATTCATCCTAAGCAAACTTGTACTGCTAGATGTGCATAATCTTTGCAGCAGGTGAAAAAAATGTTTAGCAATTTGTTATTTCCTGACAGAAGACCATGATTCTGCCTGCAAGGTCACCCTGCCCCTGTAGTTTTCTAAAGCAGAGCGCTTTGTGTTCATTCCAGAAGGAGTGTACCCAGGCTGAGAAAACAAAGCAGAGTGATATATTAAGTTTTCAATGTGGAATCTGAAGTAACATCTTGTTAAAAATCTGACTTGGGAAACTAAGTCAGCTCTAAGCTAGAGATTCCTCCTATATTTATATTTTTCCAGCAGACATATTTATCTACTTTGGATGGACATTTGATTGAAAGAGCTCCTTTCTATGTTTCTATTTGCAGGAACCTTTTTTTCCCCTTGCGCATCACTTTGATGTCCCAATCTCCAGTTGGAGAACTACCTTATACAACAGGGGTGGGAAACACCTCTGTGTTTTTATGACTTGTGGACTTCAACTCCATGGTTTCTTCCCCAAACCCCAAAAACTTTAACCTTAGACTGTCCATTATTGACCTCATCCTTTTCCTAAGAGGTCTGTAGGGGGCATGCATAAGCACACCTACGTGCTTACCGTCCCTGTCCTGTTATTCCTTTTTATTTTTCTTATACATATCTATTTCATGTATTCATAACTATGTTTATACTTATACCTGTTATCTTATAATGTTCACCACATTATGAAAAAGATGTTGAGATTCTAGAAAAAGTACAGAGAAGAGCAAAAAGTACAGAGAAGGATGATTAGGGGACTGGAGACTAAAACATACAATGAACGGTTGCAGGAACTGGGCTTGGCTAGTCTAGTAAAGAGAAGGACCAGGGGACACATGATAGCAGTCTTCCAATATTTGAGGGGCTGCCACAGAGAGGAAGGGCTCAAGCTATTTTCTAAAGCGCCTGTAGGCCAGACAAGGAATAATGGATGGAAACTGAACAAGGAGAGATTTTAACCTGGAAATAAGGAGAAACTTTCTGACAGTGAGAACAATCAACCCATGGAACAGAAGTTGCCCTCGGAAGTTGTAGGAGCGCCATCACTTGAGACCTTCAAGAAGAGATTGGACTGCCATTTGTCAGAAATGGTGTAGGGTCTCCCGCTTGGGCGGGGGATTGGACTAGATGACCTACAAGGTCCCTTCCAACTCTGATTATCTGTTAAATCTGTTATAATCGCTTGACAAATAAAATAAATAAATAAATATAATTCCTGAGCCAGCCAGGAATTCTGGGAGTTGAAGTCCACAAATCATTAAAGGGACCATAGTTCCTCAGCTCTGTTCTACAGGGAGCCCTTGACTCAGAGTTTCACTCAGCACCCCCAGAGTCACGTGATGAAAATTTGGGTGCTTGGCAACCAGCATGTACTGTATTTACAGGGCCCTGGGAACATGCACCATTTGCAACCTTTCCCAGCTGGATTTCGATAAGCAAAGTCAATGGATTGGTGGGGAGCCAAATTTGATTAACAACTTCAGTACCTGCATTGCTTAACAACTGCCCTACTTAGCAACAGAAATTCTAGTTCCCAAGTATGGCCTTAAATTTAGGTCAGTACTGAACTGGACATCTATCGCATGAACAGCATGTCTTCAACTGCTGTTATTCAACCCCAAGCTAAGGGAGGGAGGGGAAAAAATGGGTGCAAAAATAGACTTAATTAAATAGGATCACAATTAGAATACCTGTTGATAACCACAACCACCACGGAAAACTATACAATCAGCTGGTTACATTATTCATTGATGTAAGCAATTCTGGAATGCTGTGGAGGCAGAGATCAAAAGGAGCAGAAAACAACCAAGGGGTTATTGTGTATGGCAAGCTAATCTTGCACCATTATTCTCAGCTCTCAAAGAGTCCTATTTTCAACCTTGGAGATTTCCAATCATCT